AAAGAGCGTAAAACCCGCGCGCTGCAGGTGAAGAGGGGCCGGCTGCACTCCAGCCCTGGCCCAGCCTCACGGCCAACCTGCAATAGGTGTCCCTGCGAGTAGCGGTGGCTCGTGTCCGTCTCTCCCTGACCTTTTCCTGAATTTTCCTGAGTGACTCTGTTCCTTTGGTTGCTCTCTGAAATGTCTGCTGCAACCCTGCATGTCGAGGGCTTGCCTTGGCGCTTTGGTGACCCCCGTGGTGCTGTGCCGCCCCGTCTGTGTGTGGAACGTCTGTGACCCTCCCTGAGTCCTGTCTGCATGCCCTGGTCCATGGCACCGTGTCGCACACTGGAACTTACTCCACGTCAGCAGTCCAGAGCTGGAACGACGACCGTGTGTCTGCCTTCCTCTCCTCCAGAGATCCTGCCCACGTTGCGGCCGCGGCCTGCCCCGGCGCCAGCTGCGGAGAGGGGGCAGCACCGGGGACCGCGGCTCACGTGTTTCTCTAGTGAGAGGAGCCGGCCATTGAGGTTTGGTTTCCGTCTCAAACCTGCCCCTTTGAGAAGTGGCTTTGTTTCCCAGGCGGATTCCCGGTCAGTCTGTTTGGGACTTCTCTCCAGGGCTTCCTGACTGCTCCATGGTTTGTCCCTCCACCGGCCGACGAGGCGGCGGGCGCAGGGGCGCGCAGGAAGGTCGCCGTGCCCGCAGAGTGGCGTCTTATTTCAGTTGTGGCAGCTTCATCGGGGGTTGAATGTCACACGTGCTTTAAGTTTTCAAAGTCACGGGATGTTAAAAACTGCTCCCCTCACCCTGATCCCTCAGAAGCCACGTAACCCTTACTGCTCACTCCTCCTGGCTTCCCGGGGTGTCCCGTGAGGCGGAGGCCACGCTTCTGTGCCCTTGAGTGGCACCATGGCTGGGGTGAACGGGGATCTCTCTCTGCAGTTGTTCCACTTTGACCAAAACCAGGGGGCCCAGGACGGAGGCCTGGGCTGGGCAGCTGCCTTGTCTGAGAGGAGCGCATCTCTGGACACGCATCCCTTGTCGGTGCTAGGAGCTTTGCCTGCCCGGGGGAGCCCTGCAGCCGGGGCCTGCCGTGTGGCGTTTTCTCGCCGTGCCCACTCGTGCCCTCTGGCGTGAGGCCGTCCTTGGCTCCGAGTGCCCATGAGGGCTAAGCCTGCTCTAAGCAGGGGCTGTTGCTGGTTTCCAGGAAAAGTGCTGCCCTTTGTACCCTTTGGTCACTGAAGCTGAACGGTGGTGGTCACTGAAGCTGAACGGTGGTGTAGACGCCCGTGCCCTCTCCTGAGCGTTGCCCGGTTATTTCTGCCCCTCCCCACTGCTGAGGCCTCGAGGGGTGCTGTCCCGAATCATGGCCGGTGTAGGGACGCAAAGAGGAGCGAGATGCAGCCCTGCCGTCAGGGAGCTATAACCTGCCAGCAGGAACAGCAGTCGGTCAGGGAGGCAGGTGACACCAGGGACAGGCTGGTGGTGACGGACGGCTAGTGCGTCTTCAGAGAGGGGGACCTACGGGAGTGCGGTGGCCACAGCAGAGTGTGCGTAGGGCCCTGGGGTGGGGCAGGGCAGCCCGGCAGCGCCTCGGGTCCAGAGCGGACGCCCGCAGTCTGAGTGCAGGAACAGGGCAGGGCAGAGGGAAGAGCCAGAGCTGCCGGCCTGGGCATGGCCTGTCGTCGTGAGGGGCGGGTGTGGTTTGCTGGCGATGAGGCTGGAGTGGGGAGAGGTTTGGACTGTGTCCCGCTCCCCACGCGTGTCAGAGAGCCGTGAGGAGCCGCAGCCTGTCGGGCTTGCCTGCCTGCAAGCTCCTCTACAGCGACTGGGCAGGCGGGGTGGGCGCAGTGAACCCGGGGACCCGTTGGTGTCGGAAGGAGGCAGCCAGCATGTGTCCCCAGCAAGTGTTTGAGGGGTGTGGACAGCTGGGGGGAGACGGAGGCCTGGAGGCCGAGGGTTAGTGAGGAGGAGCGACAGCCAGGGACTGTACCCCAGGGCTGGGTGGAAGAAAGGAGCCTGAGACGGCCTTGGAGGGAGGAGCAGAGCCAGAAGGGTGAGGCTTCCTGGAAGGCCGTGTTCAAGTCCCTCATGCCATGGGGAGGTGGGGTAAGATAAGACTGAAGAGTGGTCTGGGGAGACCAGCAGTTAGTGTAATAACTATGTCGCTGGACTCCCATGTAGTCGACCACGGTTCGAGTCCCGGACCCACTGGCTTAAACTCACACCGGGCACGTGTGTGTGCGTGCCCAAGATCCCAAGAGGAGAATGGAGGAGAAGGGATTGTGGTGTGGCCATCCCCCCTGGGGGGGGATTTCTCGCTTTCTATCTCTAGCTTTCTGGCGAGTGCACGTGCCCTATAGCAAAAACCTCTAGAAAAATAAAAGTGGCTTAGGGGTCAGCCAAAGTCCTGGTGGTTAAGGTGGCTAATGTAGCCAATGTGAGGTTCAACTCCCGGACCCGGCATCTTGAGAAACTCACCAGGCACATGTGTGTGCATGCCTAAAATCCCGAAATGAGAGGGAGATGGGGAGAAAGACGGTGGCATGACCGTGCCCATGGGGAGCACCTTCTCACTTTCTCTCTCCCTGGCAAGCGCATGCACCCTCTGGCAAAAAAAAAAAAAAAAAAAAAATGTTAAATGGCTTAGACCCAAGAGTTCACGAGTATCGCCGCTCCCAGGGCTAGTTCCAGCAGAGAAGCCAGAGCTGTAGCCAGACCGCCAGGATGCCAGGGAGGGGGAGACTCCTGCGCGCTGCTGCTCTTGCCAGGCAGCCAGAGGGGCAGCCACCTGGGTTGGAGTCCTGTCCTCCCGTGGGCCTCTGAGCATGGCAGGACAGACATCACCAGCCCCTGCAGGATGAGCGAGGCCAGACGCAGCTGCCTCGTCCCTCCCCTGGCCTCGCCCTGGGGAGTGACAGCACTGACGGGCAGGCGGTGTACCTGCCTCGTCCCTCCACCCTGCACAGCAGCCCCCGACCATCTCGGAGACAGTGGCAGCAGGGCCAGCTGACGTGGGGAGCTGTCCGCCTGGCCCTGGGGCACTCAGAGTGAAGTCCTGGGCCCAGGGTCAGGGACAGGAGAGGGAAGGGATGGGAAGAGGTGAGGTGAGCAGAGGGGCTGACCTGGGAGGAGCACCGCTGGCAAGGGAAAGCGGACGGTCGGGCCGACTAGGGACTGAGGCACAGGGGCTGTGGAGTGGGTGTGCCAGGGGAGAAAGGGAGAGGTGAGGGCCAGTACCCTGTGAGGGAGCCGGGAGCAGAGGGGAGGGACCCGCATGGCTAGCAGTGAGCACAGGAGCAGCAGGTCCGCTGGGAAGGTTCCAGTCCCAGTGACCAAACCCAGGCCATCCCCACGCATTTGTTTGTTCATACGGAGTCAGGATATCAGAGCTTCAAAGCAGTGTGGGCTGACTGTCCATCGGGCGCTGGGGGCCAGGCAGGGGTCTAGGGGGGGTCTCTGGAGCCAGCAGAGGGCCGGCCTGCTTTGCCCACTCACCCGAGAGCAACCGGATTGTGGGGTGGACCGCTGGCCGGTCTCAGGAGGCAGTAGGGCCGCCACGGTGCTGCAGTCGTAAGCGAGTTGGCCCCCGTTGGCGGGTGTCATGCAGGAGAGGGCCCCGGGGGAGGGCAGCAGCGGGAAGACGTGTCCCCTGGCCAGGAAGAGCGCCGTGGAGGCCAGAACCCGAGAGCCTAACAGAGACGATTCCGCGCTTTGCATTGCAGTACACAGTGTATAGTCGAGCCAGCAGCATGAGCATTCCGGTTGCAATGGAGACAGATGGGCCTTTGCATGAAGATGTGCAGATGCCGAGAAAGACAGTGAACGACGAGGCTCCCGAGGTAAAAGCGCGGAGCCAGCCTCTGAGCTCCTCGTAGTCCCGGAGGAAATGCGTAGCCGGCAGGTGGCCAGGAAGGCGTCAGTGCCCTCTGCTGTGGCTGAAATTCACACTAGACTCCGGAGACATGTTTCCCGTAGACTAAGCAGTCTTTAGGGACTGCGTGTGTGCCTGAGACCTGCCGCCTCGTCCCCGTCCTCGGCAGTAACAATGCCTACTCTTAGCTGCTCTTAAAACAGCTTGAGCAAAACGGAAAGCTTCGCAGTAATGCCTTACCCCTGCTTCTCCCCTCTGCATCGTGGCTTCTGCTCCAGCCCCGAGACGTCCCCTGTTAGAGCTCATCGCAGGTACTAACCCCTCCCCGGCCGCCCCTGCTCCAGGCCGGCAGGAGCCGCTGTCTCTCAGGGCCTGTGTCAGGACCGCCATGGTGACGCCCATGCTCCAGGGCTTTGCCTCCTTGTGGGAATGCAGGTCAGAGCACACTGACCTAAGACAGGCTCTGCTCTCACCCCAGCCGGGGTGTTTGCAGTGGGCCCCTGCATCCCACACCAAAGCTCTGAAATCCGCAGTGGCGGTGACGATGGTCCCCGTCCCTGTACACCACCTACTGTGCACCGCACGCAGATGGTTCA